AGTTAGCCAGGGGTGCTGTGCTTCTCCACAGACTCCAGTGCCCATGCTGAAGTCTCCACAGGTTCCAAACAGCAGCAGGCATCCTGTCCCCTTCTGCAGAAGGCATCCCGTCTGTGTGTCCTCAGGTCCTAGGGCCTTTGTGTCCTGCTCTCTTGAGGACCCTCTCCCAAATGCTGTTGCTCCCTGTCAGGCATAGCCCTGGTAAGGGGCACTGATCCTGTCCCTTCCTGGCCAATGTGCCTCTTCTGCTGACCTCAGTTGCTAATCTCTGTCCTAGGCTCTCAGTTGACCTCAGGCTCCAGCTGGGGGAGGGAGCTGTGCCTTTTCACCTACAAGGAAATGGTCAGGAGAAGGCTGGGGTGTGGACTTGCCCCCAGTCTGTTCCCAGTTCACCACCATCTCCTGGGACTCCATCCCAATTCCCCTTCCCTCTTTTTTTTCTTTTTAATTTCCTTGTAGTTGTAGATGGATAGAATGCTTTTATTTTATTTGTTTATTTTTATGTGATGCTGAGGATCGAACCCAGTGCCTCACGCATGCTAGGCAATTGCTCTACCACTGAGCTACAGTCCGAGCCCTTGTCCTTCAATCTTGACCTATGGCTCTCCTGCTGCCCAGCCCATCAAGCCATGGGCCTGGACTGGACTCCCAGAAGCCAGATTCAACCTATAGCTTTTGGTCACTGCTGTGTGGGGCTCTCCACCCTTAACCAGCCTGAGCTGGCATCGTCTTTTCCAGGAGGGGCACAGGAGTGCTCCATACGCTGTCTGATGAGAACTCAGCCTGTCCTTGCAGGGACTCTGGAGGAGGGAGCAGTGTGACCTTAGAGAGAAGTATGTAGCAGGGCCTCTGTGTGTGCATGTGTGTGTGTGTGTGTGTGTGTGTGTATGTGTATACTCACACCGAGACCTGGCCCTGCTGGGGCTGCGGGAGGACACTGCTGCCCGTGGTTTCAGCACCCCTAGGGACAGGGCTTTTGGGTGCTGTCCCCAGTTCTGACCATGTAGACTCTGGGCAGCACCCTCAAGCCTGGGCTTGAGGGTCCCAGCAGATCTGTCACCCCCAAGTCATGCCATGGCTATCCTTGCTCATATGCCTCTTTAGGGCCTGGCAGAGACTGCCCCTGGGGGACCTCACCCCTCCACTGACTGCCCTGTCCTCCCAGGTCCACAGCAAGGACAAGAAGTACGTGTGCAAGGTGTGCAGCCGCGTGTTCATGTCTGCAGCCAGCGTGGGCATCAGGCACGGCTCCCGGCGCCACGGTGTGTGTGCCGACTGTGCTGGCCGGGGCGCAGCCGTGCAGTTGGACCATGGGGGCGGCGAAGGCTCCCCTGAGGCCCTGTTCACTGGTGATGGGCCCTACTTGGAAGACCCCGAGGACCCGCGAGGGGAGGGTGAGGAGGAGCTGGGGGAGGATGAGGACGACGACGTGGCAAAGTGGAAGGACGATGTAGGGCTGGCGCCCGAGGACACGCTGTTGGGGGACGACAAGGAGGACGAGGACTCACCACAGGGCCCCCGCAGCCCCACTGCAGGGCCTGAAAAGGACTTCGCCTGGATCTCCTAGGCCCTGCCCCAGTGGGCAGGGTCTGATGGTGGGGTGGTGGCTGCGTCGTTCCGTCCACCTGTGTGTGTGTCTTAGTGGGTCTCAACACCCGACGGCAGGGCAGTGCCCTTCTCAGCCCCTCCTCTGGTCCTCCCTGCAACCAGCCCACTCCCACAGACACCGGCCATGGCCTTGCGGTCAAGGGAGAGCGCATGCTCCTGCCTGTCCTGGGATGCCTGGAGTCCCCAGCAGGTGCCTGCGGGTGTGTGACGGGTCTGGTCTGGGGCGTGCCTCCAGAGCATCAAAGGAGCCCTCTGTGGCTGGCCAGACCCTGGATGCAGGCTGGCCAGGGTGGCCAGGGGCATGAGTTCATCCTCGAGGCCACAGGTCTGAGTCCATGTTGAGAGTTTTGCATACACCGAGCTGCATCCGTCCGCAGCACTGCTCAAGCCCTGCAGCCAGGTGGCTGCCTGTGACCCCGTAGTGGCCCTTTGCCCTCTTGGCTCCTGCCACATAGTGGCAGCCTGTAGAACCCAGGTCTGGTGCACAGAAAGCCCTGCGATCCTCTTACCTCTGGGCTTTGGTGCTTAACAAAGCAGCTGCAGATCCTCGAGATCCAGGGCTCCAGGTGCTCTCTCCGGTGGTCCTGGAGGGCGGGGCCTGAGGAGGCCGCAGCTCCTTCCATGCAGGACTCCTCAGTCAGGGAGGAGACCCCTGGCCAGGCTCCCCATCTCAGGCCCAAAACAGTTCTGCCATGAGGGCCTCAGCTCTGGGTGCACTTCCTCAGAGAGCCTGGGCCCCTTGTCCACCCTGGGCTTGCTCCAGGGCTCCTGCTGACCCCTCTTGGGACGGGCTGGAGCCGGACTCCTGCCATCGTTGCTGCTAACACTGGAGGTGGGTGTCCTTGCTGCAGTGTGCTGCTTCACCTCCCTGCCTGGGTAACCAAATGTTAAAGTAGTTGGAGACATCATGAGGTAGCTGCAGGAAATTCTTACTTTTTGCATTGTTTTTCGCAGTTGGCAAAACTACATAGGGTTGTTTTTCCTTTGGCTTGTTAAGTCCTCCTGCTGTGTTTTGAAGGAGCTTCCCATGTGTTCTCCTTTTTTCCTGAGTGAAAAGCAAAGGCCCCCATGGTGGGCATCTCTGTGCATCACCCAGCGTTGAGGCCCTGGAGGCAGGCTGCCAGACCCACCCTAGAGCATACATGGCAGCCTGTACCCCTCCTCCAGGCTGCTCTGACACCACAACTAAGACATTCCACCCTCTCCTCCTCCTCCTCCTCCTCCTGTGCACCCTCTCAGGGTGAGGTGCAGGCAGCTTGACCACTCCCCACCCTAGGCCAGGGCTCCCTGGGAGCTAGTGTGAGTACCAACTGGAGAGAGAGTTTCTAGTTTCTCCTCCAGACTGCAAGCCAGATGGCTGTTACCTTTTTACTGTCACATCTTCCTCAGTGGAAAAAGGAAAACCCCACAGAACTATGACTTAGGTCCCAGTGGTCACCTGGAGCACATCTCCTGAGAACATTCCCTAAGCACAGCTGTCTGGCAGCTGCTGCCAAGGACACACAGGGTGGGCCCATGTGGGCGCAGGGACATGGTGCTGCCCTTGAGGGCCTGTGTACGGGGAGGAGTTGCAGTTCTCTCTCTTGTTTTTTCAAAGTTAAATCAGCCAGTTTCTACCAGTCACAAGAGGCCGCTCCCCCTGCTGCCATCCAGCCCTGCTGCGCATACATCCCTCCTTGGCAAAGCCATGAGCTCCTGAGCCAGTCCCTAGCGCAAGCTCAGACCCTCCTACACAGAGCATGGGGGCCTTGGCTTGTCACCCATTCTCCCACAACCATGGCGGGGTCTGGGGTGCTCCCAGTGGGGCAGTGTGGCTGACCCCCTGACCAGGAAGCTCCAGCTGAGCTCCCAGCCCCCTTCAGGGCTCTCAGAACTTTGTACCTTTTCTCCCACTTTTTTAACACCTTTTCTATACACTGATTTTCTTACAAGTTGCATTTGGAAACCAGACCTTTGCTACCAGCCTCTGGGTTTTGTACCGGTCCCCCCTCTCAGGCCAAACTGCCCAGGGCCCCCGGCCCACCTCCCCCAGGCACCTCTGCCTGGCACTCAGGATGTCTTGCTCTCTGACTGGCTCCCACTCTGGATGCCTTTGCTGGCCTAGGGGCATATCCTTGAAATGATACTGTACCAGAAAACCAAGGGTCCCAATCTGTCCACCATCTTCCCCGTCTGCTGTGTGGCAGGTCCGCTGTTCTGTTTGCTAGTTGGAGAGTGGAATTTCAAACCCAGATGAACACATCCATCTCAGGAGGCATGGAGGGAAAAGACGTATGTAATGAAGGTTTTTTTTTTTTTTTTATGTGACTGATTTTTTTTTAATCAATGTTCAAACTAATAAATATTTTTTTATGAAGAGGAAAATAATGTGTAGATTACATTTCACATTTTGTATTTTTGTTGTTGTTTGTGTCTGTTTATACCTTGGTGTTTGCAACACCAAAGTGGAAGATACAGTCCATGGTGGTGGGGGTATGTGAATAGGGAAACCATGATTTTGTAGGGAGCTCTGGATCCTGGCCAGGTTGTTTGGACTCTGGGTCTGGGCAATAGGATGCTGCCAGGACTCTCCAGGGCCTGACTCCGGACACAGCTATGCTTCCAACTTTGCACATCTTCCTTTTTAAGAAAGAAAACTGAGAAAATGCAAAACTGGAACTTTTTTGCAATATTATGAAAGATAATCTTCAGCTCATTTTGTGACATGTGCAGCTCTTTAAGAAGCCATACTTTCTAGTGGTTGTCTTTTGTTTAGATCCTGTTGTTTTGTACGCGGCCCTTTTAGAACCACTTGTAGTGAGGGTGCTGTGTGTGTGTGCTTCCCTTAAATATTTATTTTTTTTCAACATGCTTTCAACCTGTCATCAAAAACAGAAGAGACAAAAAAAAAAAAAAAAAAAAAAAAGGGCAGTGTTTGGAGACTGTTGATTTTTTTCTTGGGATGCTCTATTATATTGACTTTATATATTATTATAAACCTGTGTTTGTACTGGAGATGTGTTTAATATTTGGGGAGGTTTTTCAGTCCATTGGTGGAAAATCACAGCTGCTGCCTAGGTCTTGGTAGCCAGAGGCCAGGCCAGCAGCCAGCATCACCTTCTCTTCTCTACAGAGGGTCTGGAGTTTCCTGCTTGCCTCCACAGGCTCCAGGCCTGCCTGTGGAGTTCCTTTCTGTGACGGGATTAGCATAGACATTCTTGCAAAGCGATTACTTTCAATAAATTGGGAAATTGCTGCTCCCAGCAGATGCCTCCTGTGTTTCAGATAGCCCCCTCCTCGGCCTCATCTTGGATACAGGGGGCTGGATTGGAGACCCCCAGCCCCGTGGCCTCCCCCCATCCCTGCCCACAAGGTCCTGGACCCATTCCTTCCCTCCAGGAGGCAGACTCAGCTTCTGGAAAAAAAACCCAATTTTTAATTTTTCTCCTCGCCTGGTGGCCCAGACGTGAGACACCTGAGCTTCAGAAACATGGAAAAAGTCAGCCCTGGCCCCTAAACCATTGCATTAGGTGTGAGTATGGGAGTCCCCTTCTCAACACCCCTCAAAGTGCCTCTTGGACCGAACCCTACAGCTGGCCTGCCAACATCCTTGGCCAGTCCTGGGCCAACAGGCAGCGGGGCAACAATCCTGGGGCCAAGAGGACAGTGATGTTATTTGGCTTTAGTGCAAAAACGCTGGCTTCTTCAGAGGCACTTTGAATAGCAGGACCCCTTTCCCCACTGCTGGGGTCCAGGGTCACCATCTCCCCTACTGTCTCCTGCCTTAGGAAGTAGCCCCACAGCTACAAGAGGCAAGGCCTGGTGATTGCCCAGGACAGGAGGTGGGACAGCAGGGCCAGTGGGCTCAGTCCAGGAACCGCTGACAAGCCTTCTTCCAGCGGCAGGCTGTGCACCACAGGTCCCGGTGATCCGTGCCGTACACCTTCCGGCACTTCTTGGCATCACCGCGGGGCTTCCTGGGGAGACAGGTGGGAGACGAGTGCTGTCAGCTGGGACCCTCCCCACCTGGCACCTGACTGGGCCCGCAACCCACACGCACCTCAAGCTGGCACCAAGCTTGGAGGGCAGGGCTGGTGCAGTGGCCTGGCCCTCAGTGGGCTGCGGGTCCACATGGACGGGTGCCAGGCAGCCCTGGGGGGAGCTGCAACTTGGACTTCGCTCCTCTCCAGAGTGCCCTGAGACTTGCTCCCAGCTGCCACCTGTTGCCTCCCCAGCATGGTGGGCATGGTCACCGTGGCATGTCTTGGGAGGAACTGCAGAGCTAAGCAAAGGGGGCAGGGGCAGGGCCAGGGGCCGCAGCAGGCTGGGCAGGTCCAGATGGGGGAAGGCAGGTGGCACAGGGGCCTCAGGGGACGTTGGGGCCAGGCTGGACAGCCCATTGGTCAGCATGTCCACACCAATGTCCAGCTCAGTGTAGTAGAAGTCCTCCTCACCATCACTGTGCTCAGGCTCTGCCCGTCTCCTGCTGGGGACACAGCAAGGGAGCTGAAGCGCTGGCCTGGCCTGGCCCCACCGCCCGCCCCCGGCCCCACCGCACCCCAGGTGCACCAGGCGGATGTGTCTCTGAATGGCGGAGGCTGTGCGCAGCACCTTCCCGCAGCTCTTCCACAGGCACTGGAACACCACCTGGACCGCGCTCTGGGCAACAGGGTGTGTGTCAGGAGCAGCACTCGAGTCCACCCGCCCTGGGCTCCCCCAGCTCACCTTCCGTTTCCTCTGAGTGGGCTCCCCAAACAGAAAGTGGGCTGCCTCAGGGGGCAGTGGGGGCGATGGTGTGGACGGGGAGGACTGGTCGCTGGCCTGGTCCCAGACCCAGTCTCCACTGCTGCTGCTGTAGCTGTCAGTGGGCTGCGCCAGGGCCTCCCTCCAGGGTTCCAAGTCAGGCTCTGCAGGAACATGCACCTCAGGACCTCTGGTGGCTTGAGCTGCTCTGTGGGGACCTGCTGCCTGCTGTCTGCCTGATGACCTGCAGTCCCTAACTCAGCTGCCACCTATTCAGGTGAGCCTGGTGGGCAGAGTCTTGGAGAAGATGTTGGTCACAGGGGCATGGGGAGACATCCCCCAGCATAGCAGAGAAAAGGGGGTGCCTGGCATGGTCAACAAAGTGGAGGTGGACAATCTGCAAAGGCCTGGCTTCAGTGAGAGGCACTGAAGATCCATATAACCACTTCAGAAAGAGAGCTGAAGTGTGGGTGGCAGGTCTGCGGACTCTGCTCGATCCCAGAAACTGGGTGGCTGTAGGGTCCTCTGTCCCAGGCCCTGCCCCCACCTGAGCACAGACTTGAGACACACCTGGACTGAAGGATACAGCAGAGGTCCCCAGATAGAGGGGGCTAGTAGACAGGCTTGTAAGGGCTGCCGCGGCCAGGACCTCATCTAGCCGAGCTTTTCCTGGGGGGGATCTGAAGGAGACAGGGGCAAGATGTGGGTGGGTGGGGCCCAACAAGTACTCTAGGACCCTCCCCTGACCCAGCTACACTTTCAAGGCCTGGGCACGTGTTCCAGCACCAGGCTGCCTCACTCCTGGCAGAGAAGGAGGTCTGGCTCCACCCCCAGCTCAGGTTGCAGAGCCCCCAAATCACCAGGAACCACAGGGAACAGGGCTGGGGTCTCTCTGAGGCTGGTGTTCTCTACAGCCTGGGCTTTGTACCCTGCACCCTCAGGATCTACAGGGCACCATGTCTCACTGGTGGGCTAGGACTGACCCCGACCCAGCCCCCATCACATATTAACCAGCGTTGTGCGTTGTGCAACAGCAGCTGTGGGCCCCGGTCCAGGCTTAGGAGGTGGGAGCAGCCAGCAGTCGGCAGCAGCCAGGAGGGAGAATGGGCTTCAAGCACAGGCCGGTCCTGGGCCTCAGCGGGATAGGACAGGGCCCGCCCCTGCTGTGCAGCCAGCCAGAAATGTCTGGGCTTAGGAGTGGGGGAGTGGCAATAGGAGCCCCAGGGATTCCTGGACAGTAAGCCCCACGCAAACTGCACTGCCTCTTCTGCACAGAAACTGACAGCCGCCCCTCCCAGTTCTGCGATGGGACCCCCAATGTAATTGGTCATTTATGTCCAACTCCTCCAGGGTTGGAGAGCTGGGGGAAGAGAACGCAGAAACCCAGTTCCGGACCCTGACCTATTCTCTACCGAGGCCTCCCTCGGGAGGGTCGGGAAGGCAGAAATCCGTGCCCCACCCACTGCCTATGCACACACCGACGCACGTGTGCACACACCCACCTCGGGCACGAACTCCCCCCACCCCAGGGGCTCACCTCTGCCCTGGCACCGGGATGTGCACCGACGGTGTCGGGAGCCCAGCCGCCCCTGCCCACGTCCCCGGGGTCCCTAGGTCTGCAGCCTGCGGCTCTTGCGGCAGCGCGAACTCCAAGCCCGCAAAACCTCCGCCCATAGAAGGGCCCTGCAGATGGAAGAAACTCATAGAAGAGGCAGCCCAGGCCCACCAGCCTGCACCATGGATCCACTTGGCGCCCGCCCCCGCCCCACCGGCATAGCTCCGCCTCCGGCCCCGCCTCGGCGCGGGCGACGGGGGGCGTCCCCCGGCCGCACGGCTGGACCCACGGACATGCAGGGGCCGACGCGGCCACCCCTAGCTGCCACGCCCTCGGGGCCCAAAGTTTGCGCAGCCCCGACGCCATCTTTGCAGCCAGAGAAACTTTGTTGGCGCCCCCGCCCACTGGTACCTGTGGCGGCGCCGGCACCGTCACGGGCGCGGCGCGCGGGCCCGACCCCTGCGCGCTCAGCCACGGCGCCTCGGCCCGTAGCGCACTGGGGTCCCGACCGCCGGCGCGGAGCTGGGGGCGCTCACAGCCCGGACCCGGACCTGGGGAGAGCTCGGCTTCCATGGCCGGCCGGCCGCCGAGGCTGCAGCGGCGAGGGCGGACTCTCGGGAGGCGGCCCCGGGCCGGGCCGGGCTGGCGGGGCCGCCGACCCCCGCCCTGGATCCCGTGCGGCCCTCTCGGTGCTGCGCCGCCCCGAGGCCGCCCGGCCGACCACGCCCCCCGCCCCGGCGCGAGCGCCTATTGGCCGGCGGGCGTATCAACACTCGGTGGCCGGGGCCCGGCGCTCGGCCTCCGACTGGCCCGCGTTGGGATCTTGCCCGCCTCTAGCCCGCGCTCCCGCGCTGGCCAGGAGAGGTGGCCTCCCGGCGCCCGACGGCCCCTAGCCTGGCCAGCTCCGGGCGGGCGCTCTAGCGCTCCGCCGCCTGGGAGGGCCGCTTCCCCACCGGTGTGTTGGAAGAGTTGCCAGAGACAGAAAGGGGCCCTGTCTCCTTGGCTGGCTTCTTGGAGCAGGTTATTCTTTAACGCAAACTGCCCACCTCCCCCGACTTATGTAACTCTAGGGGTTGGTGGCGGAGCCCAGGGTCCAAGTCCCACCCTGGCAGCCGCCCAGCAGGCTTCCCTGTCCCCAGGACTGGAAACCACAGCGAGATGGTTTGCCTTCCCCCTGCCCGCCAATGGCTTCGGAAACCAGAATAGCCTCAGGTACCAGAGCTTGGGCACCTGGGTGAGACCACCTGCAAGACCAAAAGGAGCCATGGATCCTTCCAGAAGTCCTCACTGCAACCCTCCCCGCTTTCAAGAACGGCAGGCTGTGAGGCATGCATGCCCATCCTTGTTTGATGGAACTTTATTAGGATGTAGGCCTTCTGTGGAGCAGGGAGAGGACATGTGGACGGTGGAAATAGAACCTCACAGGCTAGAAGCCTTGGGATCTGGGATTTGTGCTGTCAGCTGCAGGGGCAGGGAGCTCACTCTGGAGAAAGGAACATAGTAAATACTGGGTGTTCAGGGGTCTCCAAACCCTCCCGAGGCAGAAACGGGGGCCTGGCACCTGCACATATCCACTGTATTACCAGGTAGACAGGAGGGGTGAATCCTGCTCAGGGCCCCATCTCCTGGATGCTCTCATACACATTTTCCAGGGGCCTGCTGTCCATGCTCAGGTCCCTGAGGGGGAGGGTCTCACAGGTCAAGTCATTCCTTGGGGCCAGAATCGATCCCCCACCCTTGAGGTCTAGCTGGTTTTTTATGAGTCCTGGGTCCCTGCTTTCAGACTTGCAGACCCTGGAGTACAGGATGTCCACCTGGAGAGAGGAGGGATCCAAGGAGCGGTTAACACCAGCCTCTCTGCCAAGAATCTGCCAGCCCCACCTGCTGTGCACAGCCCAGGCCCACTTTACCTGAGCAGTTGGGATCCTCTCAGCAGTCCCCTGCTGCAGTTCTTGGGGACCCTGACCTGTCCCCTTGAGCTTCTGGATGCAGGCATATTCAGCCACCAGAGGTCTGGCCGCAGGCCCAGGCCTGGCACAGCCGATGGTCAGCCGTGTCCCTGCCCACACCACAGGGCTCGAAGCCAGGCTGGCTCTGGGGATTGCAGCCAGCCCTATGTTGGAATAAGTGTCCTCAGGGCCAATGAAGGGTGAAGGGGAGACAGGAGAGGCCTTAGGCAACTGCTGTGGTGGGAAGATGGAGGGGGCTGCCTGTGGCCTGGTGCTGCTCCTGGGCACTTCCAGCCAGTGTGGGTGCAGGAGATCCATGCTGGCAGGCCGTGGGGCTAGGGGTGGGGTTAGAGTAGAGGTCACTTAAGGGTGGGGAGCAGGCCTGGCCCCAGAACTGGGGAGACAGCCTATGGCCAGACCCACCCCATTAACCCTCCCGGAGGCTCACGATGCTGCTGTGTGGGCCGCGGTGCAGCTCCTACAGCCTGGTGCCGGACCTGCTGAGGGAGCAGAAGCGAGTCTGTCTCAGCACTGACTGAGGGCAAAGGTCTGGAAGGGACCCTGTGGCACCACCCTGGCCCCACCCTGGCCTGGCACTCACCACTTGCACTGGCATCATGCTGCCCTGCAGCCTGGCCCGATGCCTCGGCACCCGTGTCCTGGGGGCAAGAGCATCATTAGGCCAGGGGCCACAGTAGGTACAAGGGTGGTCAGCAGCTGATGCAAGACCAATGTAGAGGTTCTCACAGAGCCTCTGCACGGGCCTGCCTCTAACTCCTGTCTGCACAAGGAGGTGGTGAGGGCCCACAAGGAACCCAGCACAACAGACATACCTGTGGCAGGCTGTGCACAGCACCCACAGCCAGAGGAGCAGGGAGAAGCACCCTAGGACCCAGAGGGTGGGCAGGGCCAAGGGCACTGGTTGCCCCATCCTGTGAGGCAGGGGCCTGGGGGCAGAAGAGAGGGGCACTGGGGCTGGCTTGAGGATGGGGCACACAAATGGCAGCCCCACTTGTGCTCCTCCCTCTGTGGGTGGGCTCCTCCCCCTATTCTGACTCAGCATACCGGAAACACCTGACCTTACCCAGGGGCACCCACCCTTCCACCTCCAGCTTGGAACTCCTGGTGAAAAGGGGTACTCTGCCTGCACTTTCACCATAACTGCAGGTGGTCATGGTGATGGCAGAGCATGGCTAGGGCAATTGTAACCTGGCCAAGATCATGCTGTGGTCACTGCAGCCCAAACCCATGATCTGGGGGAAGTCCCTGCAGTTACACCCCTGGGCCTATGAGCCACAGGCCACAGACCTCGCCTACCCACCCTGCCCAGCTGTGGCCCCCTTGTCTTACGTGATGCCCCTAAGCCATCTTAGTAGAGAGCTTGGACCTTGAAGTGGAGTAGTGGAGAGGCAGAAGAGGCCAGCTTCAGGCACTGAAATGTCCTCCCACCCCTCTGGCTCTCCTCCCCCTGGTCTCTGCCACCTATGCTGGATTAATGTCAGCAGAGTTGCCTGGGGGATGGGTGGTGGGTAACAGGTGGGCCCACCAACTATCTGTAGGAGTTAGGGGAGGTTCAAGGGGTAATCTTGGAGGTCGAGGCCAGTCTACCCAGACTCAGCAGCGGGCTTCTTGCACGGGCATGTGGGAGGGCCCAGTCTGATTAACTGGAACACAGCCAGTTCCCAATGCCTTGACCAGGTCAGTCCAAGCCCTCCCAAATGCAAGGAGCGCCCCTGAGGGGCTTGGGGAACTGCCCATGCTGGAGGGCAGAGCAGGCACTTACCAAGGCCACCACGCAGCTCCTCCACGGCCCTGTCTGGGGCAGCCAGGAAGGTCTTTGTGGGCCTGGTAGAGCTCCCCACCTCACTTCCTGTCGCTGCCTCAGAGCACCTCCCCAGCAGCCCTCAGCCCTGAGCTGCAGCTGCTGCCGCACCAGGAGTCACCCACCTGCTAGGGCCCCTCCCTCGGTCTAGTCGTGACTCAGTGTGCTACCCTGGGCGCTGGGTGGCCATCCCTATATTCTGAGAACCCAGCTATGCACCCTACCACACCCACTGAAGTGAACACTTGCCAACAAGAAGTGGGGAGAGTAGATCAGCTAGATAATCAGTGGCCACCAAATTTCAACTGACCAAACCCACTTGAGCAGGACCACCTGCCTAACAGTGCTCCTGAGGGCCAAATCCACCCAGTGAAGTAAGCACAGGGCACCAAAGGACACCCAGGGTTTTTACCCACCTCAATCAGAAAAGAGAAGGGAGAAGGCCACTCTCCTGGGCCCTCTGACCCTGGCATGGGCTGTGGCCTCATTCAGGACCCCTGAAGCCCAGCCCGTGAGTTGCCATGAACCTGTGCAGACCCCTCTCTCCCCAGAGACCCCGTAGCCAGCTGAGTCTCCACTGATACTGTGACGAAATCATTTTAATGTCCTTGCTAAGGATACGCCCCAAGACACTGGCAGGTGGGCTCCGTAGGCAAGTAAGTATCCAGAAGTGACTGACCCTCCAGAAGGACATCTTCACTTGGCAGTGTCCAAATACTCCAGGCTGGCGAGGCTGATATGAATCCTAGAAGTGGGCTGTCCCCTCTTGAGAGGTATCTTAGGTGTCAGAGTGACAGCTGGTTTTTCAGCCAAGGCAGCTGGAGTTGGGGTCCCAGGACCCATCCACAGTACATGCGAGGCCTCTAGAACTCTGTCATCTTCCTGTGGGTGTCTGCCTTCCGCTGTTCCCGCTGCAGGCCTGCCTCCTGAGCTCGGAGCTGCCCCAGCTGCCGCTGGGCTCCTGCCAGCTTCTCTTCCAGCTGGGCTGCTGCCACGCTGTGCCTAGGAACGGCCTGCTCGTCAGCATAGCTTCCTGGCCCATTGACACCACTGCTGTTGTGGCCACTGCCCGACCTCTTACATCTAGCTTTCTTCAAACTCAGCAGGCACTCTCAGGTCAGGTGACCTCCCGCATATGTCCTATAGGGATGGCCACCCAGCGCCCAGGGCCCCACACGTACCGGCCAGCATTCCGGGTGAGGGCCTCTTGGATGCCCTGGATGTCCCGCTGGGTACGCACAATCTTCTCCTCAGTCTGGAAGAGCCGTAGGCTCAGGGCCTGCTTGGCGCTCTTGCTGGCATGGTACATGTCCTGGCTCCTCCTTCCTGGGGGGCCCGCCCCAGCCTCCAGGGCCCCAGGAGCCTGGCCCCGCAGCTTTTCATTCAGGAAGTCAAACACGTTCCGAGGGGGTGGTCGGCCCCCAGGCCCACCCCCACTCCCCTGGCACCTTGGGGGCCTGTTGGCACCAGCCTGGCCCCGCTTGGTCCTCTTTTGCAGGATCTCTGCACACTGGTCCAGCGACTTCCCTCGAGGCAACACCACAGCATGAATAGGCTCCACCCGGCCTTCGGCATGTCTGCCTAAGCCTGCAAAGAAGTAGGGCTGGTGCTGCAGGTACTGACCCTCAGCTGGTCTCCAGCACCCTTCCCCCCAGGTAGCACACACTCACCCTTGCCAAACTCATAGCCCATCTTGGCGAGGAGTCTGGAGCCAATGCCACGTGTGTGTACTTCCCAGCCAGCAAAGGCAGAGCTGCAGGTCCCAGTGTCTGCAGTGCCTGATTCCACCACTGCAAGAGACAGAGGGCAATGGCTCAGCTAGGCCAGAGGACGGTGAGTGGTGACCTGTGCTCTGGCCCGTGTTCCCCAAGAGCTCAGCTCCCAAGCAGGATACCCATCTCTTGCCAGGACTCACAAACCTGCTGTGGGTGTTCCTGGCACCTTAAGCAGGTAAGTTGACTGTACTGCAGCCTATCACTGGTTGCTGAGGATAGGGGTTCAGAGATCACCAATTCATGTCATAGGTTCCCAGGGACACCTCCCTGTCATTACCCTCCCTGACCCCTCAGGAGACTTGAACATTGCCTACCAGCTCCCTTTCCTGACACCTCCACCCAACGTATCTGGACACACACCCTCTATCTGCCAGGTTCCCTTCCACCCCCACCCACCAGGCAACAGGTCCTCAGCCTGGAAAGGCAATTGACAGAGCCACCCCTTCCTGTCCGTCACGTCTACCCATCACTCCCTGTTGTCTCTTTAGCAGCTCCAGCCCCAACAGTCCTTTCTCTCCCACAGCAAGGCCAAGACCTTGCATTTCAGAGCTTGTAACTGTTGCACATGCTCCTCAAAGCCAAAGGCCAGGTCTCTGGCCCTACCCCAGGCCCTCTGCTTTGGTTACCCAGGCTGAGCTGACCTCACTTTGGCCACTCACTACAGTTGTCCCCTTAGCAGGGTGCTTCTCAGGGAGAAAGCTGCCAACCTTGCTCCAGGCCCCCACCATCCTGGCTCTGGGCACCACGCTGCCGTTGTACCTCTGGCATAGCTTGAGTCAACCGCATCACCACTGTCTGAGTCCGATGACTCTGCAGCCTCCGTGCGCAGGGGGGGCAGAATGCTATCTCCCTCCACCACAGCCTCTTTCAGCAGCAGTGAGTCAAACTTGACTGTATAGTAGCCATTATCTACATCTGAGGAGACAAACATGGGCTGCAGGTCAGCAGCTGTAATGAGCAGGCCACAGTAAGGAGCAACGAAGGAAGGGGGACGGGAGGCAGAGCTGAGGCCAGGCCAGACTTGCTCCTCTTGGGCCCAGTCGGAGATCTCAATGTCCAAAGAGATAGGAAGTGGCCCAGGACACAGACAAAAGACTTTCTAAGAAGGGCTTTATTCAGAAGCACCCTGTCAGGGAAGTCCCCACAGCAGCCTCACCAAGGATCCGTGCTGGGTGCCAGAGGCCATCCTGGTGCTTGGCCAGACACGTAGAGCCAGCCTGCAGCAAGCTCAGATCTGGGTCCTGGAAGGGGCGCAGCTCATCCACGGAGACCACCTGCCCGTGGGAGAACCTGCAGAGAAGGCCACAGGGGGCAGGCTCAGGCATGGCCTATGAGGGCAAACAAGCCCATCTGCCTGGTGCCCAGAAGGGAGAAACAGACAGGGAGATAAGCACACCAAAAAGAATATACTTTTTCCATCTCTCTCACATACCTTTTTTTTTTTTTTTATTTTTTAAGTTGTAGATGGGCAGCGTGACTTTATTTTATTTGTTTATTTTTTATGTGGTGCTAAGGATCAAACCCAGTGCCTCACACATGCTAGGCCCCAGCCCCAGCCCTCTCTCATATACTTTTTAAATATTGTTTTTCTAGTTATAGATGAACACAATACCTTTATTTTATTTAATTATTTTAATGTGGTGCTGAGGATTGAACCTAGGGCCTTGCACATGCTAAGTGAGTGCTCTACCACTGAGCCCCAGCCCCAGCCCTCTCATACACTTTTGCATGTGCATATACATACACACTTTCTCACAGGCAAACACAGACGTTCACTCATAAACACACACATGCATAAACATATACACTCATACTCACAGACATACCTACATATACATGTACAGGTGCACACAAATATACAAGCACACATATATATTCCCATGTACCCATATACATAAACTCACACGCGAATATACACACACACGCAAAAACAATATACTCATACACACTAAACATGCACACTTGAAGTCTCTCAGGATGCGCTTGGCTACTCTGAAGAGCATATTCCTGGTATTGTTTCCAGCTTGCTAGGGTGACAATGTGGCAGAGGGTCTTGTGACTTTGGCTCAACATCATCTCCAGTTATGAAGTTCTAGACCCAAACCCACTAGGACAGCCTAGTCATAAGTAGCAGTGCTGAGACTCATATAGATATATATATTTTTAAGTACTGGAGATTGAACCCAGGCATGCTTTACCACAGAGCTATATCCCCAGCCCTTTTTATTTTTTTCCAGTTCTTCTTATTATTTTTTGTTTTGAGACAGGGTCTCATTAAGTTGCCCAGGCTGGCCTTGGGCTTGCAATCCTCCTACCTCAGCCTCCCAACTTGCTGGGATTACAAACCTATTCCACCACATTCAGCAGTATTGCAACTTTTAGATATCAGTGCACCAGTAAAATTAAAACCAAAACCAAAACCAAGTTAGAGAGAATGAAGAGGAAATGTGGGGACAGACACAGGACTGCAAACTTGAACCTGCTAAATAAAGACATGAAAAAGCTAACCACCAGCCACCACTGCATGTCATCATTTCATACAGGAAACTGTTAACCCCACAGGAGCAGCTGAGGGCTGGCATTCACGTCAAAACAGAGCCAGGGTTGTCTTCCTAGGCAGGAATCTGTGGGTGGGAAGGAGGGAGATGGACAGGCAGTCTCAGTAAGCTCCCCCAAGTTGCACAGTGGTGGTCTGGGGTTCTCCTTCTCACCCCTGGCTATCCTGGTAAATAGGGCACTGCCATTGAGCAAGCAATACCAGCAGCTGTGACACAGCTGCAAGAGCACTGTAGTGGAGGTACTGGCAGAAAAGTCTCACTCAACCAAGGACTAAAGGGATGCACTCGAAGCAACTCCTCGCCAGGTGAGTTTGGCACATTCCCAATGTCTGACCATCAGTCAAACCTTTTTGGAGGATCCTTTATCACTAGAAGAGGCCTTAAAATTTGGCACAGATTGAGTGCTCCTTATCCAAAATGCTTAGGACCAGAAGTGTTTTAAACTTAGATTTTTGAACACTTCAGATTTTGAATTTTTAGATCAGGGATGCTCAATCGAACAAGTGCTTTTATGAAAGGATTTCCAAGAATATGAAAAACTTAAGAAATAATCTAAAAATTTGAAGCATGGGGAATAGTTATGGTATATCCATGAGGTTAAAAATAAGAGATGGACAAACTGACCTGTGGAAAAAAGGAGAACAGCAAGAGCCCCATGCACATAGGAAACGTAACAACTGAGGAGTACCGCAAACATGCTAGGGAAGGATGAACTCTGGATTCAAAATTTGAGTTTTCATATATAAGACCCCCAAATTGATGACCAACATCAAAATGTCCACAGAAACACATTCCAGATGAAGTAAAGACTTAAACCTGAGAACTCTAAAAAGATCTGGAACTATAAAAAGATCTAAGCTCAGCTAGGGCCTGGTAGGGACATCATTGAACACTTCCCACAGAAATACAAGCCTAAAACTGGAAAAAATTGTCAAGACTCACTGGAAATTGATGAGAGCACACATACACTGAAAAGAGATTAGTGACAACCCGCTCAGCTCTGGTGGAAATGGGAGGAGACAGCTGCTACATTTGGCCCGTTCCTGGGTTCAGAAAACCCACGATAGTTCTTCCAGCTTGGGAAAAAACTAAAAGCCGCAGAGCAGATGGGGGC